GGTGCATAATGCCCTCCGTCCGCCTTAATCACCACGGGGCGCCGGACGACTGAAGAGGGTCCACGTCGGCACGCGTATCGCACTACGCGCACAGTTACATAATTGATCGAAATCGAATTGTGAAATTAAGCTACCTAGACTGAAAGTCCCAAGAATAAATTGAACTACCTAAACTGAATGGCCTAAAATATTGCGGACGACACCAAAAAGGGGAATATAATGTGGCTCACATAGCAGTAACGAGGGGGGGGGGGGGTTACTTGAAGGATTTAGGGACTAGGTGCGCACCCGTGTTCACCGCGTGACCTTACTTGAGATGGAGTCGCTGACATGATGGTCGTGTCCGTCCAGCGCCCGGCCCGGCGGCCAGAGCCGCCGCCGGCGCCGTGATGCCAGCCGCTGGTGTCTCGTGGGCTGTCCGCGATGTTAGACGAGAGACGTGGGCCGATAGAGTGCGAGAGGCGCCGAATCAGTCGTCCGAGAGAGAGCCAGCGAGCGTTCCAGTTCCGTTTCATCAACTTATACTTTTGATGACGTCATACTTCAGAGGGCCGGGCAGCATCTCCTTGTCCAACCTTCGTCCTCCATTCTCAGAAAGTGCGTTTGGCTCCGCCTTCAAACGTTCGTGATTTGCTGAAGTTCGGCACCCCCGGCCATGGCAGTCGCACCCTTTCACGCAGCGATCGGATGGAACTCGCCGCCGGCGATTTGCGCCGCCTGAGGCGCCAGGTGGCGGCCGGCTCTGCGCCCTCCTTTCTTGTTTTTAGTCCGGCGCTCCCCCCTGTTTTGAATGTCTCCGGCCAGGTGTCCTTCTTCCATGGCGGTGACCGAGTTCCATTTCATCCTGTTTTCGTACAAACCGGGTCGGTCCCCGCTCCCCTTTCTTGTTTTGGTTCAAATCAGGGCCGGTCTGCACTCCCCTCTCCTTGTTCTTCTCTTCTGGCGGGGTGCCGAGCGTGGGACAGAGTCTTGTTTTCCAACGGCTAAACTGATTAATGGCTCGACACCGGCAGGATAGTGCGTTTCGGTATGCTATTTGTTGGCTTCAGATCCGGGTTCTCATGAAGTGGGGTGGTCATCTATAGAGGACCCCTGTTTGTCAGAGCCGACTGCGCCGTCTGTGTGGACGCCAGCTGGGACGGAGAGAGGGTATCACAGCCGATTTAGCCGGCTGACCGTGTCTGTGCGGCGCTCGCAGATGGCCGTGTTTCAGCTTGTGGCACAGCTTGCAGTTCAGCATGAAAGATGAAAAAAAAAATGTAACGCATCTGCGTTACACAGAAAAGGTGCACTCCCAGTAGAAGCGGGACGCATCAAGAAGAAGAGGGGCACTTCTAGCAAAAAAAAAAAAAAAAAAAAAAAATGGGCGTCCCAGATAAGTGGGCCGCCTACAGCAAATTGGTCGTTCTTAGAAGAAATGAGGCGACTTTAGCAAAGTGAGCCTCCCCATGACGGATTGGGCGATCCAAGTAGAGGTTGGGCGCAAATATCTTTAAAACGGCGGCAGCCGTCTTAAAGATATTTGCGAAAAACCTAGGGGGACGTGACAACGCACGGCGTGGGTTTTAAACTCTCGATTTTGACGACGGTTTGGCGCCCCCGGATTGCCAGGTCGCCCCTATTTCAACTTGCCGCCCCCCCCCCCTCCCGAAAATTCCTGGATCCGCCCCTGCTTCGCGGTGACTATGTTGGTTGTTAAATAAAGCGGAAAGGACAACTCTGAAGTGTTTAATTAAGGAAGGAGGACGTTAAGGATGTTGCAAAGCTTTCGGGACACCCTGTAGTGATTTACTCGGTTTGGTAAACTTGACTTTTTTTGTATTTATAGCCACTCGTCAACCCCATTTGCATCACTGTGCGCTAGGTCCGCCTGACCGGCCACGGAATACGTTCGAGTCTCGTCCTACTAAACAAGTGTCATATTTGTTTGTTTAACGATCCATATCACTATCAAAGTTTTTCAGGATACCGGTGAAGAAAGTTCATTCTTCTGCTAGATTGACTTACAACATGCTTTAACTTACATTTTCTTATACAGGTTTTGCTCCGTCCCGCTGCGCTCAATGCACGCGCGGGGAAAGTTAGCGGGGTTTCACTGTCAGAGGTTGTACCAGTGACAACTGTTTGGCCCTGTGACCGGTCGAAGGTTACCCCCCCCCCCCCCCGCCGGGCGCTACCCCCACTTCTGACCAGTTGAAGCCGATACAGCCTCTGACAGCTCAGCGCGGCCAACTCTTCTTGTATGGGCATAGCTGAGTTGAGCAAAGTAGACAAAAACAAATGCAAATTCATACATGATGTGAAAATGATAGAGCAATGAAGCTTCCTCTCAGGTATCCTGAACAGCTTAAGTACCGACTTGAATTGTTAAACTAACAAAAATGACGTCTGTTTAGTAGGGCGACAGCCGAACGTCTCTTCTGTGGCCCGTCAGACAGCTGAGAGCGCCGGGTCTGCGCGTCGATAAGGGTCATTTGACGCCTTTGTGTGGCTTACTTTGATCCGTCGTGACACCGAGTTGTGTGATTGCGCCTTGTTGCCGGCTGTGAGAGACATCTTAATATTTCAGAATACTTTTTCGCTACATATTGTTCTTTTGGCATTCAGCTTTCACTGGTAATCGAAAAAACATGACTATGATTTAAAGATTGTCCTGGACAGCTCGTTGAATAAAATAAAAGATTTTTACGATTTTACAAAAACGCAATTTCTTAAAAAGGCCATCGAACGATTTCTATATAAAATACTGTTTTGGAATCAGCTCACCGTCAGCTTTCGAACGGTATATTTCGTTTCTTTGGTGGATGAAATGACTTTCCGACGAGCCGTGTTGGTTCAACCGCCAACGCATTCCACCTATAAAAATAGAACCAGCATAACGCCTTTTGGGGCGACTAACGGAGCGAGAGAGAGGGTGGGCCTTGCACGTGCGAAATCGCGAGGGGTATCTCCAACTGACTTGTGCACAGCACCCTACTAACCGGTCTCTAGCGATGTGCCAAATTTGAGCACAATCGGCCCAGCCGTTCTCGAGATCTGGAAGCGGCACCCTGCACGTGCGGACATGCAAAATGGGCCCCAACTGACTTTTGCACGGCACCCTGCTAACCGGTCCCTAACCGCGTACCAAATTTGAGCGCAATCGGTCCAGCCGTTCTCGAGATCTGGAATCGACCCCTGCACGTGCGCACGTGCAGCAGCACCCCAACTATGGCACATGCAAAGGCATTGCCTTGTGGATGCCTACCTACATGCCAAGTTTCAGCGCAATCGGCCCAGTAGTTACCGAGATATTGCAATTGTTACAAAACTGACACCTCTTCGTTTTGCACGTGCCACGTGCATAAGGGGTCACCCACATGCATCGGAAATAGTCCAATGCTTGGTAGAAGGAATGAAACTACCCTACAAAAATTACCGCATGTAAATCGGTCAAGTGGTTGCTGAGATATAAGCATCGCAAAAGCGTGACCACGGCCGGCCGGCCGCTCATACTCAGAAATGTCCGTTATTCTACGTAAGACTTCGCTCGCTCCGTAATGAGTGGTAAGGCGGCCAGCGCAGCGCGGCGCGTCCCTGACCCAGCCCAACGCGTCTGTGCCGAGCGTGAGGCCAGAGGGGTATACTGTACCGCTGAACCTGGGTGTGAGGCGGCGCAGTCTACCGCTCCAGTCAAACGCTGGGCCGTCGGGGGGCGAACATCACTTAGTAGGTGAGTGTACATGCGTGGAGTGTTCATACGGCATGCTTTCGGCCTTAGGGGGTATCTTCATATCAATAAATGGCAAGTGAATGATATCATTGTCTGCTCGTCGGTCCCGGCTTGGTCACTGGACAGTTGTCTAGGACAAGAACGCAATCGTTGCTGCCTACGCTGCTAGGAAAGCTATAACGTTAAGCATGTCTTTCATGTCTTGTTTGATCCGATGAGGATGAAAGGCATCGTTTGCTGTCCAGACAAACATTTCCCTTTTTAGGCGCGCTCCCACATGGAACACTGAAACACTGAAAACTCTAATAGGCAAACAACTACGACTATGTTCTGTACCGTACGTACTCCTAACACCGTTGTTGTTTTCGTGATCACCGATGGTGATACTATGTTGTGTTTACCCATAAAGCACATAGCTGTAAATCGTTAACGTACGGTGTGTGGTATTGCACGTGGTGCAGCATCTCCGAGGCGCGATGGGTGTGCTAAAGGCGTTCAAGTAGCTTCTCGCGTCAGAAGAAGAGAGAAAAAAGTCTGATTTGCATACACGATTTCACGTTTATTCCGAAACGGAATACAAATATTTACAATAGTACAAAACACGATATAAATCTGGATGTTGGATGATTTGAAATCGCGTCCCCCGACGCGAGTGGGTGTGATCACGAACCGCCGGCCGCAGGCGGTCTCTCTGAGCGAGCTGAGCAGCCCGAGGACCTGAAGAGGAGCGGTCGGCAGGCACACCGCCGCCCAATCTCTAAACTCTATCGGCCTTTGATTCGAGCCCTGCCGACGGCACAGCGAGAGGCGATGAAGACGCAGACATTATGACATTTCCCCAAGACATGATTGAGACAGAAGTATGCGCATTGCGCAGCTCATATGATCGGCCTCGAGGAGCGGACCCAATAGCGATAGATACACATCTGATGAACTTCTCCCTCCCGCAAAGGAATCACGCACTCTGAAACGGTTGACTCTGCGCTTAACGGATGGACAGTCGCACTGCTAAATAAATACATAATGGCGCAGACACCCAGACTTCTGTCTGCCACACGGAAGAGTACAACACTAAACACTAAAACTCACATAGCAAAATAGCTCGGTCGCCAATACAATCCCCGTACTCGTGACTTTCATATTTTTAGCTCAAGTCATTGGCACACTGGATGCTCAAATATTGATTAGCAATCTCAGACATTTGTGGCAATAAAAAATGAGTTTGAGTCGACATAACGTATGGCCAAACTGTGCGTTACTGAAACTGCAACACTTGAGAAACTTATAGAAAATTTCAGCAAATTGAGTGCCACTGCTGGCTATTGCGACGTTATGAACATGTTGACTCTAAGGCCACGCCCGTCATGAGTCTTAATATATTCCGCATTGGATGATCATGAGTCGAATGGCTTGAGGAGCGGCTGCCAGCGCTGAACACGTCTAACCACTACATCGCAACGTCATTTGTGAGCACCGTCGGATCGAGCCTATTTGAGCGACCTGTCATGATTGTGTGCGCTCGATGACACTTCAACTTGTGACGACTGGATAATGTCCGCTGGAATGGGTCCGCCGCCCCAGTCCGATACCCGCCTCCCCACCGCGTGCGCTCGTGCGCGAGCCGATTTGTACTATCCGGTTTGACACTGCCATGCGGAGGCGCGTTTGAGCGAGCGACGCGACAGCGGCGCCGCCGAGCGGTCGACCCAGGTACTCCAATATCACAGCTGCGGCGCCAGGTGGCGCGGGCGGCGCTACAGCGCCAGCAGGGAGACCGTGTCGGCCGGCGGCGGCGACAGGTCGTCTCGTCGCTCGGGCACCGATCGCAACACGTCTGCGGAGAGTGGCGGCAGCGGCCAGTGCGGTGTCGGCGGCGCCGGGTCGCAGGGCAGCAGCTCCATGTCGGGTTGGCTGCCCAGGCTCAGCACAGAGCCCCAGTTGATCTCGTCAGAGGGCGGCGGCGGCAGCGGCGCCGGCGGGGGCGGTGTCGGCGGCGCCGGCGGCGGAGAGTGCACCGGCGGCGGGTCCAGCGTCAGAGGACCGCTGTCGAACTGGTGCGGGTTGAAGGCAGCCGCCAGAGTGAGACCCTCCTGTTCCAACTCCCGCTCGATGTGCCTCATCGTGTTGAAGAGCAGCACCGACTTCCTCAGGAGCGGGTCCATGGTGCGCCGGTGCCGGCTGAGCTTTATCAGCGTGGCATGCAGCGCGGTGAACCTCTGGTACCGGTAGAACTGTGAGCGCTCCCGCCGCGCCGGCACCGCGCCCAACTGTATGTAGCTCTTACCGTCGCACTCGACGGTCTGATTCTGCGGCCGCTGGTAGCCGGAATCGGCGTACCACCCTCCGAAACCTGCCCCCTGTCCGGGAGCTCGACCCAGCTCACAGGCCGGCTCCGGCTCAGCGGCGAACCCCGACCGTTTGTCGGAGAGCAGGCACGAGGCGAGGATGCTGCCCTGGTAGCCCTTCTCGGCTTCCTCCTCCTCCTCCTCTTCGTCCTCGGACTCGTCCTCGCTCGCCTCGGAGGACGACTCGTGCGGCGAGGGCGGCGGCGTCTCCTCCGTCCAGCCGCCCGGCCGGATCCTCTTGATGAGCTGCTCGGCGGCGTACTCGGGCGGCCGCTTCTCGCCCGTCTCGGGAACCTCGGACATCACGTGACCCATCACATCCACCTGTGGAAGGAGTCAGGAGGTCAGAATCGGGGCCACAACATCTATGCGTCGATGTAGTTTGACGAGTCAATAGGCGATTCGTTATGTATACGCCATACGGCCATCGTTCATTATTATTGGACCACAATTCTGGAAAAAGAGGCACATCTTTGTGTCAGGTTTGTTTCTTTCAGTGTATCAGGGACACTCATGCACCGGTGATGTGTCACATACACAACCGCCAGACTGGCTTCACGAGCATCCGTTTCCAAACTAGCGCCGCCCTGCTGGCTATTCCCCGGACTCGAGGTTCGTTACTCCGCCACCAGGTGGCCGGGAGCGTGCGGCCGACTGGCCGCCGTGTCCCACTAACGTTCAGCGGCGGCTGCGGATCGAGCGGCGCGGGGCCGTAGAAAGCAGCCCGTGCAGCGGTGCGCGAGGTCCGACCGAGGCCAGCCCTGGCGGCTGGTGCCGCGCCAGTGCCGCCGCACTAAGGTCGGCGCCATGGAAAACCGACTTTGCTGGGCGGAACATGCAAAGTAAAGCCAAATATCCCAGACAGAATAGTTGTCATCATATTTTCCTTTTTGATTTTAATTTTTATTTATATATTTTGAATTTATCGTACTATATTTAATTGAAAAATATCAGTATTTTGAAGGACAAAACAGATAACTCGGGTGACCCATTGATCTGTCTTTGTTTTTACAATTGAAAGAATCAATAAGAACGACTATCACATCGAGGCTCTTGCTACCGCGTACCGCCTCAAGGCAGTCGCCTCATATCATTCTGGGCTATTGCGTTGCACCGGACACGATTAATTTCATTCACGCATTGCTTACGTGGTGGGCGTGCATATCTATCAATGAGTTCATTTTGTCGAAGGAGATAAATTTGCACTGTGCAATTGCGTTTTGTTTTCGTAAGGCAAGCACGCATGCATATGACAGTTTGAATAGATAGCATTTAAAAGGAAAAGACCGAAACATAAACGTAAGAAGCTAGCGTAAAAAACAAAAACAAAAGATACGCCCGACTTGGTACTGACCACATGGCATGTCTTTACTGAACTGAAAAGAGGTGAGCAACTGCGCAGCAAGCTCTACTTAGTTTATTTTCTCACCAGTTTCGAGATCG